GTATTTGCAGATGACACAGATACTACTTTGCTGCAGAGGGATTTAGATAGACTGGGGGACTGGGCACTCAAATGGCAGATGATGTTTAATGTAGAAAATCACTTTGGCGTAAAGAATGCACAAGTAACTTATACCCTTAATGGTAGCGAATTAAGGATAACAACACACAAGAAGGACTTGGGAATTGTTATAGACAACAAACTATGCAACAATGTGCAATGTCAATCAGCAGTGGCTAAGGTCAGTAAGTTATTGTCATGCATGAAAAAGGACATTAAGTCTCAGGATGAAAGTATAATTTTGCCCCTTTATGAATCACTGGTAAGACCACATCTTGAATATGCTGTGCAATTTTCGGCACCTGTTCTTTTTTCTTTTTTCTTTTATTGTTTATTTTTGTAAGCATAAGGTTCATCCAAGTTTAGTAGTTTACAATCATTATGTAAAAGATAGTACAAGTAATGTATATGATGTGCCCATTTATTTTTTGATTATTCAAGAAAAAACAAACACATAGAATAATAGAATAACATACGTAACGAGCATTTTAAATCAAGACCGTTAAGTCACTTGTAGGTAGCGTTAAAAGCTTCTAGAATTGGTAGATGTTAGTATATGATGAGTAGAGTGCACTGTGTCCCCAAGGGGGAGATTGTTGTGCTGTGACCTGGCTCCTTGATGAAAAGCTCAGCTGGTGTCAGCTGTGCTCTATGTCCTCCTGGTGTCAGCCTGTAGAATAAATAAGAATGGCAGATTGTGTGTTACAGAGAATGTTTAATTTAAAAGTGCATGTAGTTGTGACAGACCGCCCAAAAAGAGATGCTTCCCTTGTGGGATCTTCACACCGGGACTCCACGAACGGGTTCCTGAGGTGGGTGGGGACAGTGTTGGGGTCAGGGCCGTCTTTAATAACGGATGGACCCTGGGCAAGTGTTTGCTTGGGCCCCCTGTGCCCTGCCGCTCTTGCCCCTCACTCCCTGGTATGCAATCACGGCATCCATCCCAACGCAGTGGCGGTACTAAAGTAGAATGAATTTTATTGGGACCCCCAATTGCAAGGTTGGACTAAAGGTAGAACCCCATCTGTCGTGCAACTCCAACAATGCTTTGACAGCTGGGACTCTACCAATTTCCCATGCTTGCAGGGTTGTATTTAGCACTGAGCCATGTTTGTATGTTTGAATGTAAGCATGTGTTTGTATGGAGTATGTTTGTGTGAATGTGTTTGTATGTGGTACTGGAGTTTGAATGCAAGTGTGCATTTATGTGTAGTGTTTGTTTTTGAATGTAGGAGTGTGCTTGTATGTAGTGTTGACATTTCAATGCAGGAGTGTGTTTTATATGTAGTGTTGAAGTTTGAATGGAGGGGTGTATTTGTATTTAAAGTTGCGGCTCAGATGCACAGGTACACACTCTGACGCACAAGCAGATACACAGATACATACACTGACTACATACAGATAAACAGGCACATACACTGACAGACACACTGACACAGGTACATATATTGACACACACACAGACACATACACTGGTAGACGTACTGACAGACATACTGACACAGGCACATATACAGACATACTGACACACAGACACATATACCGACATACTGACACACACACACACATACACTGATCAACATACTGACACACATACACTGACAGAAATACTGACACCCACACACTGACAGATATACTGACACCCACATACACTGAGAAATACTGACACACACACACAGGCACATACACTGACACACAGACTGATATACTGACACACAGACATACTGGCACACAGACAGATATACTGACATATGCATACACATGCACTAACAGGCATACACATGCACTAACAGACATACTGACGCACTGACAGACATACTGACACATACACATACTGACACACACAGATATACACACACATATATACTGACACACAGACAGACAGACATACTGACACACACACACAGACATACTGACACACACACAGACATGCTGACACACACATACACATACACTAACACACACATACACTAACACACACATACACTAACACATAAACACACACATACACTAACACACATACACTAACACACATACACACACACTAACACACATACACAAACACACACACTAACACACATACACTAACACACAAACACACACACTAACACACAGATACACTAACACACAAACACACTAACACACACATACACTAACACACACATACACTAACACACATACACACACACACACATACACTAACACACAAACACACACACTAACACACATACACACAAACACACACACACACACATACATACACTAACACACATACACTAACACACATACACATACACTAATACACACAAACACACATTTTTTTTTTAAATGTAATCCCCCCAGCCTCCTTACCTTTTGGAGTGCTGGGGGGGATTCCCTGGGGTCCAGTGGTGCTGCTGGGCTCCTGGGCGGGTGGCCGGTCGGGCAGGAAGGCGGGCGCGCGAGGGAGCACTCAGTGCTTTCTCTTCAGCTCCCTTCGCACAACAGCCGTGTCGGCACCGAAGATGTCATCTTCCGGCGCCGCATCCCTACGCTGCCGCTGTAGGGAGCTGCTGAAGAGGAAGCACTGAGTGCTCCCCTCAGCTTTCCTTGCCCGACCGCCACCCGGGTCAGCAGGGCCAGCCTCGGGGGGCCCTGAGGTGGCCGCCTCCTGGGCCCCCCAGGGGAAGATGCTGGCCCTGTGGGTGCATGGGCCACCCGGTGGGAGGATGGGGAAAAAAATAAATTGATGAGGGCAGCGGGGCCCACGGGGCAGGTGCCTCGGGCCCCCAAGAGAAACTGGGTCCGGGGCAGCTGCCCCGTTTGCCCCGCGTTAAAGACGGCCCTGGTTGGGGTACTGGTAGTTGGGTTTGCCCTACCTGCTCCCAACGGAGCTATAATTACTGCCTTCCCCACCCGGGAGCCCAAGGAGTGCTCTCCCTTCAAGTCCTTGCCGACCAATCAGAGAAGGAGTGTCCATTCAAACTGGGTTTTGCACCCTTTCTCATGATTGGGTGACAAAACTCCTCTCCTCCCCAAGCGCCGATTGGTGCACGTGGGTTTTGCATCCTTTCTCCTGATCAGATGGAGAAACCCCTCTCCTCCATGAGCTCTGATTGACGCAATTTGGTTTGTGCCCTTTTTCTGGATTGGCTGTTGCCTGGTTTAGGTGCGAAGTTTGAATTCACCGGACTAAACCAAGCAACGCTGTTGAACTAATTGCGAGGGTGTACAGAGCCTCAAGCCCCAGATTTTATACGTTAGTTTCTTGGGCTCTGTGTAGATGCGAATATCCATTTTGCTCTATATCCTAACTGTTCATGTAAGGGTTAATTTGAATCAAGAATAAATTTGGAATTGTATCTCATGTCACAATGACTTATCTATTTACGGGAAATGTTATTGGAACATGATTTTGTTATTTACATGACATGACATGACATGATAAGGATTCTGGAATGACCTTGTTAATTGTCCAAGATTTCTGCATTTGTAATCATCTGGGTTTTATCCAATATGCATACATTATGTAACATCGAATTATAACTAAAAACAGCTGTTTATAACTTGTGAAAAACAATGTCATTGTCACGCCCATATGGTCATTTTTCCCCCTCCCATCCTGCTATGAAAAGGGGTTATAAATATAACTGACGTATGAATACAATTTGAATTGGTTATTGAACACGTCTCTGCTATTCATTTCCAATTTCCAGAGCTCTGTATGAGTTGGCAAATATCCATCATCCACAAAGGGCCAGGCTGATTTTATCCCCAACAAATTGGTGTCAGAAGTTTGGGTGCAATTGGGAACGGAGTTAGCAGGTAAGGGGGTCTTTAGCCCCTTGGGGACACAACTTCTGGAATTTAAGGGTATCATGACGGAGTATTTCTGTCGTGTGTCCTTAAGGGGTTGGGGACCTTTGCCTGCTTCTGCCATCCTCCCACACATTGCATTTCTTGTTTTAATGGGGTTTTCACTATTTACATTTTTAAAGGGGATTTTCACAGGATAATGTCTTTGGTAGACATGGTATTTTGTTAAGTCTTAGGTAGACTTCTATTACTCCACGGGTTGGAGGATTGCCTTTGGTAGGTAGTAGTAGTTATTGTGCACATTTCCTCTTAGGTAAGAGGTTCACCTTTGGCCAGGTGTTAAAAAGAATTTCAAGCCTTTGGTAGGCTGTGATGTCCTGTGATGTACAATTACATATGGGAGACGTCCCTAGATCCCTCTTTGGTAGAGGTTGCCTTTGGTAGGTTGTAAAACAGATTTCCAGTCTTTGGTGGCCTGTGGTATTTATTTAACGTAGATGTAAATTTGGCAGACTAAAATGGTTATTAAAAAAAAAAGAGGGAGTCTGTTTTTGTAAATTTTAGCTGATTTCCAAAATTCTGTTGCAATAATGGACTTCCTGCCAAAATTTGACTTTCCTGTCCAGTTGCCAGGTGCTCTGATCTAACCTTAAAGTAGTACTGCTTGCATTGTTTGCAGACATGCATAATGCACAAATATGAGAACCAAATTATGTCCGTCACATAGTGTGACATTTATTAATTTATTTTGGATTGAGTTAATTGCCTGTCCATGAATATGCTTTTTGTATTGGCATGTCTGCTGAATATCTGCTACATGTTTTCTGTGCTATAAGATGATGTGTGATATTACAATGAGTATGAAGAATATTTAAAGAATATTTGCATGTCATTAACGCAAGCCTTTAGTGTCTTTTTACAACAGATTAAAAAAACGCTGATCAGCCAACAAGAAAGGGGCCCCTGGGAAAGAAAAAGAAAAAATATATCATTTGCTTTTCAAAATCGTGGATCCACGTTTCAGTATTATTAGGGGAGTATTTAGAGTTAACGCTACTTTTAAAGTGCATTGCATTATTTAAGAAAAGAAAAATGTGTTGTTATATGGTTATATAACAAGAAAAATTATGGATGTATAGGATAGGTTTTTTCCAAGATTAAGATTCATCTAGTATGCCTCATTGATTATAGGAAAATGATGAAATGGTATTTTTAATAGAGATCAGATAATTTCTTTTGAGGCAATTCTAAACTACTGTATTATATTTGTATTGGTATATTGAAAGCATTTTGCAGACCCAGAAGAGAATAAATAATATAATAATTATAAAAGGAACCATACTATGGGAAGAGGTCACTCTATTAAATTGCTAAGGGGTTAAACTCATTTTGATAAGCATATAAAATTTAGTTTTTGTGGTTAGAATTTTTGATACTCAATTTGAACTCAATTGAAGTATTACAACCATATCCTTGCAGGTATAGGAAACAGCAATATGCAATATGATTTTAATATTTGCAATATATTAGTGTTCTGACAATGGAAAAGTTCCTAACCGCATGTCTGTATTACACCTATGACCCAGACTGTCAGTATTGCAAACCCCATATGAAGACTCTGCTTTCACTGTTTATGTATACACCCCTAGACAACCGTGCTATACAAACACAAATCTTCAAAAGCTTATTAATATTATATCTGTGTGGTACACAAATAGGTGTACACAAAGAGGGGGTGTGAGTTAAGTCATCTCGACCTTCATATGGAATATGCTTCCTCCTTGTTCACTTTTGGTCAAACTGTTGGTCTGTGACTGGCCCTCTTTGACCCCAACTGAATTTCTTGGGAAGATTCATGAGAAAGATACAGCAGGTTGTTTTGGATATAAAGAAAAAGGGAAAAGTATGTTGTATCGGTCACAAAAGGATTGTGATCTTAAGCAGGCGAGACAAAGAAAGTTTGGAGGTGATAGATTGAATCAGAAAAGTTTTAGAGGCAGAGGTAGAGAATTTGATCAAAGGATTTAACTTTTGTAGAGATGGTAACTTCAGCACTGTTTTAATTGTGGGTAGCAGGGATTCACCCCAAGGTGCTTGTGTTCTCCTGGCCCAGCTGGCATTCAAGGACTCCCACCCTGGCAGGTTCCTCAATACCAACCACAACTTTCAAGCTATACCCACACCCAACAACCTCAGCCTAATACACAGATGGTTCATGTTTTTAATACTTTATATATAGTTTTGATAGATAAAACAGTATTAATGCTGGCTCTTAGAGGATGTACAAGCTGAAGTTGGGACCTAGACATTGTTTGCATAGGCTGTGCAATGTGAAATAACTAAAATAAAATAGGATAATAAGTATGCTTAGTCAATTTGTAAAGTGGTATAATAGAGGCATCTGCAATAAATTAAGTGGGTTTCCAAGACCTGACAAGTGAGAGCAACTTAATATAACATATGTCTACAGTTTGCTGTCCCTTCCTTATCAGAGGCCACTTGCAACACAGCAAGACAACTCTTCCTAAACCTGTATTAAACAAAGCACTTTAGAACAATAGTAATTTATTTTGTTTCTCCTATTTCATTCCTAGTTGTTCTGGAAAAAAAATATATTGTTTAAGTGGGATAACTGTATGGAGGTTCCAACATGTATTAAAACATGATCACACACATCGGGATCTATAAAAGGTTTCGGTTTCCAAAGATGTTATCAGGGTCCACAAAATTTTATTAAAGTAATTAATTGAGATTATCAAATCAAGGTTTAAGTTTAAGAACAGCATTTTATTGGGAATTATACCAATATGTATATGTTAGTGTTTTAGTACTCAACAAGCATTTATATAGAATGAGTGCTTCTCTCATCCATACAAGGCATTTTAAAGGGAAATTATGTATTAAAATTTTATAAAGGACAAATTCAATGAATTATAAGCAAAACTGAGACGTACATGTTACACTAGTTAAGAGTTTAACTTTAGTCTCTAATTTGAGTTTAGCCTAGATAATTAATTTATTGATGTCGTACTGATCCTTGTGTTTGTATGATTATAGAGACCGTACTGGAGTATTTGTGCTGCCTGATATTTGGGACTACACACCAATCTCTCTGGCTGACCTACCTGCCTACTTACCTTTTTTGCAATTAAATCTGTTTGGTCAAAAACCATGCTGGCCGAAGAAACTGAGATGCTTACTTATGAGGACATAAACTAACTTGGAAAGTCCTGAAGATGCAGTGCTGTCTAATGCCGCTATTTCTGTATTACCCTTTCAACAATTGGGGTGTTGCACAGAGTATTGTGGTGAACATCCAGCAAACAGAAGAATTAAGAACTATGTGGAAGCTGACATTGTCTTGTTGTCAGCCATATTGCTACCCTTAGCTATGTTATGGTGTCTAAGATTATGGAACAAAGTTTATGGTGTCTAAGATTCTTTATACTCCTTGAAAGACTTATAATATTTTTCTGGACTATTGAACTATTTTGTTATTTTTATTTTTGTAGAGTTAGCCGGAGAGAGAGGAAGTGTTAGCTTACTCAGGCATGGATGTACTATGTGTGTCATTGATGTATGTTGAGTGTACCAAGGATGGATTCCAAGGTATTAAGTGTGGATATGACTGGACTATCGAAATAGGGATTTGATTAGGAGGCATAGGACGCAAGGTCATGATTGGGATTATTGCTAGAATTGCAAACTGATTAGAAATGATCTTATGATTTAATATGTAAGTGGCCTTTTCAAACTAATCAAGAAGTGTTTCCCAATCCCGATACCTGAGCTATTTACTTACATAGTGCAGGTTTTATAAGTCACTAATGCTGTCAACGTGAGGGGATGACATGTTTACACAGTCATGGCCCTCACTTAGAATTTACCCAGATGTGCTTTTTTTCTCAATTATGAGTTTTTGCCACTGGGATTTTTGACCTGGCCCAAGTTCACTGGGTGGACTGGTAATCCAAGACCCTGGTCCAAAGAGGGGAAATAGATTTTATTCCCATTTTTGATTATATGTGTTTACGTTGTGAATTATAATAATAATATTCCCGTTGTTAGGAATAATACACTTTGCCTGTTTTGATCCAAGGCTCAAGTTACAGATAACATGATGTGCAGTATGTTTAAAATTGGTTAAGATGTCAGCTGTTTGAAATATTTAACTTGTACACTTAAAAGATGTGTACAACAGATGATTACAGAAGCTGAAAATCGACAGCTCGATCTCCTCTTAAAGGGAAAACCTACGGCATAGAGCAAATGGGGGAAATCGAGGTGAAGAAATAAGGAAAGTCCCGCAGACGTGATTAGCACGTCTGAATATACCTCCTTTCGTTTCTCTGCCGCAGGCCTCCCATGGATATTCCATAAGGTAGATCATGATATGATCTAAGAGGGGAATTGTAGATGCGAATATCCATTTTGCTCTATATCCTAACTGTTCATGTAAGGGTTAATTTGAATCAAGAATAAATTTGGAATTGTATCTCATGTCACAATGACTTATCTATTTACGGGAAATGTTATTGGAACATGATTTTGTTATTTACATGACATGACATGACATGATAAGGATTCTGGAATGACCTTGTTAATTGTCCAAGATTTCTGTATTTGTAATCATCTGGGTTTTATCCAATATGCATACATTATGTAACATCGAATTATAACTAAAAACAGCTGTTTATAACTTGTGAAAAACAATGTCATTGTCACGCCCATATGGTCATTTTTCCCCCTCCCATCCTGCTATGAAAAGGGGTTATAAATATAACTGACGTATGAATACAATTTGAATTGGTTATTGAACACGTCTCTGCTATTCATTTCCAATTTCCAGAGCTCTGTATGAGTTGGCAAATATCCATCATCCACAAAGGGCCAGGCTGATTTTATCCCCAACACTCTGTACATACGATAGCCCTGCTATTTGCAGGGATCCTAGTTGGGACCCGGGGCTATTCAGTGATATATGTTTTACATGTGTGACCCCTTCACTTCCCGCAGAGCCCCTAAGTTCACCCCTGTGTGTAATATGTTTTAATGTATTTAAATGTATCCTGTTGGTATCTCGCAGAGTGGGAGATGGTTATCTGTAACCCATGCCCCCCTCCTGCCTGGGACAAAGTAAAGTGTATTGAAAGAGTGGAGACTCCCTGTGGGGGTCTTTGCATAAAAGCTGTATATACCAATAAAGGATTGTCAGTGTTGTACCTCCAGAACTTGGTCTTGTCCAGTGACTGGGGTGAAGAAAGGGTTAATCCCTGTGCCAGCTTATCACAGCTGGTGAAGAATGCAGCTGGGAAAGTCTTTTTAAGGACAAAAGCTCCTGGGTCTGTGTGTCCAACCCGTGGGAGTGAACAGAGATAGGTCCCCTATTCAGCCACAGCTAGGAAGCAGTCCCTTTAAAGCATTCAACCGATCGGATTACAGGGAGCTCTGTTACAGTAGTAATTCAAAGTGATGTGTAGCTAGGCTGTAGAAAGGTGAAGTGAAGTGCCTTTTCTAACTCGCATTCCTTGTGGAATGGCTGTGTGTGTGGCCAATAGTATGAGAGAGAACATTGGCAATTTGTTTTGTGTTAGAGTGGGTCTAACTGGACCACAGTGTGAGGAACTGTTAATACTTAGGTAGGCAAGGAACAAATAAAAACAAGATCAACGGAAAACAAAGTGTACAGTACAAATAGTCCATTTTGGAAACGTTCCCTTCTGGGTCTCAGGTGCACTTTAAGTGCTGGTTTGCACATTGCGCTTTGGATGAGGTGAGGGGGGGGGAGCAGGCACCAAAGCCGGTGGTGGTGGTGGGTCCATTTGACTAGAATGGTTTAAATTTGGACATGTCCCAGGTGTGTGAGGGCTTTTTTCTTGATGTTAGGATGTTTGGCTCCGAATTTGGTGTCCGTTATAGTGCCTTAAGCACAGAGTCTATTTCTGATCTGTTGGTTATGCGGGTGGCTTTACCACTGTGCATGATGACCAGGCTCCTGGGGAATACTTAGCAATATGGAATAGAGTGTTGGCGGAGCGTGGTGGTCAGTGGTATTGGCTTTTCAATACCAAGTTAGGTCTGGACAGGTCTTGGTAGAAACACAAGGGTGGAGTTTTCAAAGGAGTAGGTGGATAGCTGTACTGACCTTGTTTGGAGTAGTATGACATGCCTTGGGGATTCTGCTGGGTCTCTGGTAGCTCTTGGGATGCAAAAACCCCATCGATCAAGGCTTGTTTAGCATGTTTTGAGGTAAGTAGTGTTGTTAGAAGCCTCCTGATATAGTGTGGTAGTTCATCAGGGATCACGGTCTCCAGGATTCCCCGTATTTTGACATTCCAGCTCCTGCATTGATCCTCCATTGTGTCCAAGTGACTGGTAAACAAGGACTGGGTTTGTTGGAGCTTTGCTATTTGTGTGTCTATCTTTAGACATTGTGTGCTAAGGCCCTGTGTGTCCTCCTTTACCGTCTTGACTTGTCCCTCCAAGTGTATCTCCTTCTGCATTATGGCTAAGTCTGCTGCAAACATTGTGCGGATATTGCGGAGAAGTGCTTTTATATCTCCTTTAGTGGAGGCAGCTAGTTTTTCTCATCCGAGGAGGGGTGGTGTAGTCCGCCAGTGTTTGGAAATTCTTCCAGCTCATCCAATGCTTGTTCTTTAGAGGAGGCTGAGGTTGATTCACCATTTTATTTTGTCTCAGAGACTTCCGAAGCCTTAGCAGGACGGAGGAAAGGGTCCCCGATATCGCGGGCCCTCACTTGTTTTACGAATCACTGATGTTTGGAATTCTTCCCCATCATGTAATGACTTGGTCTGATTTGTAGATAGTATAGCTTAGTTATTTAAATTGCTTATTTTGGGTTCATTATGGTGGAGCTTGTCCGTCACACGTCTGCTCTGTTCGCCTACTGGCTCCGTCCCCCACCTGTTCTAAAGAAGGATATTATGGCACTAGAAAGAGTGCAGAGGCAGGCTACAAAATTAATAAAAGGAATGGAACATTTTAGCTATAAAGAAAGGTTAACAAATTTAAACCTCTTTAGTTTAGAAAAACGTCACCTTAGAGGGGATATGATAACATTATACAAATATATCCGTGGCCAATACAAACCGTTGTGTGGAAATCTATTCACAAACAGGACTTTAGGACAAGAGGTCATGCATTTAGACTGGAAGAAAGCAGATTTAGTCTAAGGCAAAGGAAAGGTTTTTTTTTACCATAAGAAAAATAAGGATATGGAATTCTCTGCCTGAATAAGTGGTTTTATCAGAGTCTATACAGATGTTTAAACAGCAACTAGATGCATACGTGCAAAAACACAATATTCAATGATATAATTTTTCAACTGTAGGGTAATAGCTTCTTGATCCAAGGATACATCTGACTGCCATTCTGGGTTCAAGAAGGAATTCTAGTTTGTTGCAAAATTGGAAGTGCTTCAAACTGGGGTTTTTTTTTGCCTTCAACAGCAAAAAACAAATGTGAGGAAGGCTGAACTTGATGGATACATGTACTTTTTCAAACATATGTAACTATGAATTGGCACCCAGATGCATTTTATAAAGAGCCTGGGATGGCTTTGCAAAGTGTGAGTTGTAATCCATCACCGTGATTTCCATAGTCATCTTTAGTCAGAGTTTACAATGTATTGTATTTTTGTTTTATAGGTATTACCTTAAGAACTAACTTCATTGAAATCCACATGCTTTAAAAGACCGGTTTTCGAAAGCACAAAACAACTATCCGAGGTATAAACTCAGATGCTCCAGTTGCACGGCACTTTAAAAAAAAAAAGGCACAATGCTGCTCAGTTGAGGTGCCAAGTGCTTGAGAGGGAGCCCCCTTTGACTAGAGGTGGCAATAGAGAGAAGCTACTACTACAAAAGGAAGCCTGCTGGATGACCAGTGTCCCTTCATAGTCTCAATGAGAAGCTTGAGTGGCACTGGTTCCTGTGGGTGCTTTTGTCAGGTGCCCGCCAAGGTATACATCGTGTACCTGGGTATGTTGGGTATGTACTATATTTTTTATATTTGATTGAAGTTCTAATTTTGTCTTTACTAGCATTCTCTCCTAATTTGTACAACTTATGTGGCATGCTGTATATTCTCACATATTGTGAGATTGATTTTATGTTTATCCTTTATTCATATTGTAAATAATTTTGCTTCATGTTATGTTTTGATTATTATACCAGCTGAGCTAGATTTCCTCCTAATACCCTTGCTCCTTTCTATACATTCACATGTTTAATAATGGTATTATAAGCTTATATACTGTTTCTGATGATAGAAATACACTTTCCAGCCTTTGTTATGGCTGATTAAACTTACACCATTGATTAGAACGAGTTTATGTTTACCCATCTCCTAGCAACTAGACGTGATGATGTCACGCACTGGGACTCAACATCTGATGTCATCAGGTATGTCTGACATCATCACGCATGTCCCGACAAAACAGGAAGTGGTTGGAGCCTCCAGAGTGGTGGATGGACGCTGGAATTTGCTAAACAGCTGATTTTGATCCTGTTTGAAATGTGGGTTATGGCACTTGAATTAAAGGACCACTCTAGGCACCCAGACCACTTCAGCTTAATGAAGTGGTCTGGGTGCCAGGTCCAGCTGGGGTTAACCCATTCTTTTATAAACATAGCAGTTTCAGAGAAACTGCTATGTTTATGAATGGGTTAAGCCTTCCCCCAAAGCCTCTAGCGGCTGTCTCATTGACAGCCGCTAGAGGCACTTGCGTGCTTCTCACTGTGATTTTCACTGTGATTTTCACAGTGAGAGCACGCTGGCGTCCATAGGAAAGCATTGTAAATGCTTTCCTATGCGACCGGCTGAATGCGCGCGCAGCTCTTGCCGCTTGTGCGCATTCAGCCAACGGGGAGGAACGGAGGAGGATCGGAGGAGGAGAGCTCCCCGCCCAGCGCTGGAAAAAGGTAAGTTTTAACCCTTTTCCCCTTTCCAGAGCCGGGCGGGAGGGGGACCCTGAGGGTATGTTTTCCTGGCACTATAGTGGTCCTTTAATGTGAGCACTTTATTTATATATATATATATATATATATATAAAACAAGAGGGCGCCAGCGTGCTCTCACTGTATTATATATATATATATATATATATATATATGTGTGTGTAATTGTATTCATGCTATAACTAAGGACATTAGGATTGACAAAGGGCCATAGCTCGAAACGTTTGCAACCTGTTTGTTGTCCTTCAAATAAATGTGGTAGTACCTGAGTGTGCTAGTTGCACATTACTCCCTTTTTTTCTTGTTTTGTCCAAATTGGGCCCAATTAGCCATGTCATGTGACTCATTAGTGTTGCAAGGTCTCAGGTGTGAATGGGGAGCAGGTATGTTACATTTGGTGTTATCACTCTCACACTCTCTCATACCGGTCACTGGAAGTTCAACATTCCACTTCATGGCAAAGAACTCTCTGAGGATCTGAAAAAGAGAATTGTTGCTCTACATAAAAATAGCCTAGGCTATACGAAGATTGTCAAGACCCTGAAACTGAGCTGCAGGACGGTGGGCAAGACCATACAGCGGTTTCACAGGAAAGGTTCCACTTAGAACAGGCCTTGCCGTGGTCGACCAAAGAAGTTGAGTACACGTGTTCAGCATCATATCCAGAGGTTGTCTTTGGAACAACTGCAGAGGGGTGGGGGGGTCAGTCTGTCAATGCTCAGAACGCTGCACACTGCATCAAATCGGTCTTCATGTCTGTAATCTCAGAAGGAAGGCCCTTCTAAAGATAATGCACCAGAAAGCCCACAAACAGTTTGCTGAAGACAAGCAGACTAAAGACATGGATTACTGAAACCAAGATAAACTTATTTGGTTCAGATGGTGTCAAGCGATGTGTGGCAGCAACCAGGTGAGGAGTACAAAGACAAGTGTGCTTACAGTCAAGCATGGTGGTGGAAGTGTCATGGTCTGGGCGTGCATGAGTGCTGCCGGCACTGGTAAGATACAGTTCATTGAGGGAACCATGAATGCCAACATGTACTGTGACATACTGAAGCAGAGCATGATCCCCTCCTTTCAGAGACTGCGCTGCAAGGCAGTATTCCAACATGATAACGACCCCAAACACACTTTCAGGACGACCACTGCCTTGCTAAAGAAGCTGAAGGTAAAGGTGATGTACTGGCCAAGCATGTCTCCAGAACATGTCTCCTATTGAGCATCTGTGGGGCATCCTCAAATGGAAGGTGGGGGAGCGCAAGTTCTCTGTGATGTCATGGTGGAAGAGGACTCCAGTGGCAACCTAAACATATAATAAAATATTTACAAAACTGTGAGGGGTGTACACTTCTTCTATACACACAGATATTTTTAGTGTCTGATTAGTATTATGTATTTTGTCTACATTGGCATTTTATCTATTAATAAGGCATAATTGATAAATATAGAAAATAAATAAGCATAATATTAGTTATCCTGGAAAGTGATGGTTCACTTTTAAAACAACCTCAAAAAGGGTTAATTCATAGGGATTTAGGGGGGCAGATAGTATTTTAATGACAGTGTTTTACATTAGAATATTATACTGACAGAAATATAGATATAAGATAGAATGTCAGAAGGCAAATAAACATAATCAATAATTCTAGTTAGATCAAGTAACCAGAAATACAGTATACTGGTAGGGCTTTGTGAAGCCGAGTTAGTGTAAACAATGATGTACATAAAGTATGAGAAACACGCATCATGTCTCAATCTTAACATGACACAGCTTTAATTTTGTTTGCTATAGTCTATTTTTCCTGCTACAGGTTTCTCCTTAATTATCTTAATAATTAATTTCCTCAATAACCAGACATTATACACAGTACATTTTGAAGTGTTTACTTTGTTTTTTCAACACTTACTCTACATGGGTGTGGGGTGAGAACAGCAGTGTTGCAACAGAGTTATTAAGAAGTATTCATTATTAGCCACAATGAAAACATGTCTGTAACCTTCCTTAGAGCAAAAAAATGTCTAATGGAAAACCTAGTTTAGCATCTCTTAAAGGGACACTATAGGCATACAAGCCACTTCATCTCAATGATGAGGTATTGGTGCCATGTCTACAGGAACAGCAATATTTACATTGCCGTGTTTAAATGCCTCTAGTAAAATTAATACATTTCTACCAGTTGGTCTCATACAGACCATCTGTTTATCGCAGGGTGGTGTTTGGCCATGCATACATTCTAGTCTCTCAATGCTTTCCTATGCTTGGAGGCGGAACAGCAGCACGGACAAGGGGAGGAAAAAATTGTAAAATGTAAAAGGTAAAACAAATTATTTTCCTTGTACTGGGTGGGGTCAGTCATCTAAAAAGGGCATTATAGTGTTAGGATTATACATTTGTATATGCTGTATGTGATGAGTCCCCTGAGCCCTTGGAGTGGATAGAGCAAGTCCCCTAGCCTGCTCCAGGACAGAGAGGTTCCAGGACCCCAGTAAAGTCGCGGCAGCTAGTGGGGGCAGAAGCGCTGCCATTTGTCCCCTGTCGCAGCTAGGAAGCGGTCCTTGACAGAGGTACCCAGCCGGGGTACAAGAAGCTCTGTTACACTGTATATATACTCTATAGTGTTCCTATAATAGTTAACAGGAGGAAAATCCTGATTGACAGAGATACAATAATGGTATACTACATTTTGAAGGGATATGCATTTACAACAATCTCTGAAACCACTGTATACACTTAGTAAGTTGGGAGTGAACGTCCACTTAAATACAACATCTAATGTCATTTAGATGAAGATAGAGTATCTTACTGTTTCTCCACACCTTTACTATTGCAATGTAGCATGAATATTTATATCACAATAAAACTGTGTAAATTATATTTACTAAAAAAAAAAAGGTGTGTCTTGCAGGTATTTCCACAATGTGCTTTTTTTAAAATTCTTTATTTTTGTGGTGCTGTGAATGACATGATTTTCTGTTGCACCTGGGTCTGTAACACTGAGTCTTGTAGTATGCTCATGTGGGTTTGTACATCCACTACATCCTCCTCAATGGCCCTAACTCAATTTGTGACCGCCTGCACCTCAGTCTTAATGAGCGCAGAGTCAGCTGCCAACAGCTTGTGAATGTCTGCTAATAGAACCATGTTTGATCATGTTTGGTCATTGGTCCCTGGTTGTCAGAGGGCTTGGAGGTGGAAGTTGTGAGGCCTGAGAGTTTTCTGGTCCCCGGTGCTCCATCTCAGTAGTGCGTATGGCTACATGCAGAACTTCCATGGGAGCAGGTCTGGGCTGTGCATGTCCTTTGGCCCCGGTGGGAGTTTTCTGCGAGTGGCGACCCATTTCTGGCATGTATGCAATCGAGGCAGGTGGTGTGGGAGAGGAGGTGACCCCAGCCCTCTCTGTGGTATATCCAGTCAAGAGTTCTCCTATACTTGAGAACAAGGGCATGAGGCAGGCCCCAGGCTTGCGTCTTCGCTTGAGTTGTTTTTGGGGGAGAAGGAAAGGCATCTATCGATGAAGCTTGTCCCTGTGAACCAGGATATATGACTTGCTAAGCTGCTTTGGCTGTAGAATTGCAGATATTGGCAAGATTGAGAATTTCACTGAGGAGCCAAAAGAAATGGCATCTGTTCAAGTTGAAAAATGTTACCGAATTTTGAGAGTACGTAACTAGCAAAAGTTGAGTTTCACTTACAGGACTTTACTGTACAGGACTTTTTTGCACATTAATTATTCAAGCAACTTAATCTTCTATAGCTCAGAGCTGTAGTAGAAGGTGAAGAGAGAGGATCCACAGCTAAGTAGTGACAGAGAGCAGATAAACATTAGCAGGGTGTAGTTAGTCCCAGCCACCCACCCACACACATAATACCGGCCATCCATCCCAGCTCATTACTCGCAGCCATACATATACACCAATAAACCCAACAATCCATCCACATCCATAGCCAATTATGCACACTCAATAATCCCAGGTAGTGATGTCGCGAACCATTCGCGAACTTGCAGCGAACGGTTCGCCGTGGGTTCGTGGCGAACTCCGGTCAGCTGACGCATCCCTGCCAATCTCCGGCAGACCCTCCCTCCCAGACCCTCCTACTTCCTGGACAACATCCATGTTGAAGGCAGCTTACATGTGTTACGCTACTTGGGTGATTTGGCTTGGAACTCAACTGCAGCTTGTAAACCTCCCTATTACATGAGTGAAGATACGGAGAAACTTTAAAGTATCAATACTGTAGCTTTAAGAAAAGAAGGAATCGCTGGTAAATTGATTCAAACAAAGTTTTAATAAGTGTTAAACTTAAATGAATTGCATTTAGGCAATAATCCAATAAGAAGAAGTGCACGTAATCAACAACAACACAAAGTTCATTATTATGTATTTCCTCAGAGATGCAAGTAACATTCTTTGGTTAATGAGAATAATCTTCAATAGTAATATTAAGCAAGTAGCTGAGAATAGTTGCAAAGCAAGAACAGTTCATAGCTAATAGGCATGATGGGAGTTGTCCTCCAAATAATTAGTAACTTGAAGCAGTGAGTGTAATTGCAAAGCAAGAAACAGTTCATAGTGAATGAGCATAGTGAATAAGCATGATGAGAGTTGTCCTCCAAATAATTAGTAGCTTGTAGTAGTGAAGATTTCAGAAAGCAAGACTTAGTTCATTATTAAATGAGATTGTAGATAATTAGATGAGAGGTATACTTAAGGTTAGTTGTCCTCCAATAGTAAAGAGATAAAGTCCACTTGTAAAGTGAGTTTCCGTTCTCCAGCATTCCTCTAGAACATGAAGCTTACTTGTCTTAGCTCGATGGCTAGGACAACATCAGAGCTTGAGAGCCGGCGTCTTCCAGGAGCCGACGTGTACACTCGGAAGTTGGACCCACATTGTGAGTTCCCAGTAGCTGAGCCTGTGGAGCCCGCGGTCTTGCGGAGGCAGCTCACACATTAGCTCGCACACAATCACCAAGCCCCCTCTCTTTGGCACGGTCTCCCTAAATACCGTCAGAATCGCGTACGAGGGGGGTGGGGTCCAGCCCCGCACAGCGGAGTGCCGAACCCGGAAGTGTTACCGCATGACAACATGTTGGTATTGGTCTCTTGTGAGTTTGACAGTCGGGGTACAGATAAAAACATTTGGCATTGCTTTGTGTTTCCTGAGACATCTCCTGTCAAAGCAACCTTTATGAAAAAAAAAAATTCTAACAGCTATGTTGGCACTTCCTACCAATGCATGTATTAGGGTAGAAAATGCTGGATTTTTTTAGAATCTCTTTCACAGTTTAAATAGTTCACATTAGGGTCACTTTTCAGTTCCAGATATTTAAAATGTTTCTCTGATAGAATTCATGTCCTTAAGTTGATCATATTTATAAATGAAACAAACCAAATACCAGATAAGAAATAAGAAACCAACACCATTTAAAATTGGATGGAAATGCCGTAGCTTTATTGAGGGTAATTAGAGGCATTACAACCCACTTTAAAATTAATACAATAACAATCTCAAATCCTTAAATTTAACAATCCACCCTTGAGCCAGCCATATTGCTTAAACCTTAAGCCTCAATCCACCTCATATTTGAGGTGACCTTACCCCAAGCCGCAATGGCAGCAAAGCTCTGCCATTTGCGGCCCCTTCCACAATCTTACAGTCTTCTCTATCCCCTTTTATAAACCATTATTAAAAATGTCAATCCCAATTTCAGATAGAAAAAGGCATGACCTTATGAATGGCTCTTTTCACTTTATGCCTAACTCTTTCCGAAGCCTTCAAACCCCACTGCTTGGTCCAAATTAAACGTGGCGCCATTTCAGAAAATATTAAAAACGTATTGAGGAATCTTGCCTTAACTTCACTCAATACATTTTTAAGGGAAAAAAATAAGCTGCAAAGCTCTAATATTACTGATGACATTTCCTCCAATGTGCAAAATAATACATTTTGGACCAGGTAAGCAACTAGCACAAGCCTCAAGAGTGTCAAACATCAAATTTATTCTCAAACCCCTTACTCCTTTAAAAAAAAAACATAACATTGTCCTCATCCAGCGCCAAATTTGGGCCATAGGTTCTCTCGGCTGCTCTTCTTTGTGCCCAAAAGATGAATGAATTTCCAACTATCCAAACAGCCGCTGGCGAGGAAAGTAGCATAAAGAAATGGAATTAATAGAGTTTTGGCCCAATGTAGATCCAAATGAAGTAAATAGGGATCAGATAAGGGGATAACCCTAGGGTAGTTAATGAATAAATGAGATAGGAGGAGTAATCTGTCCCAGTACTGTCGTAGAAAGAGGGTTCAATAAAATCCTTTATTAGTAAAACTAAAAAAACACACACACAAATGCTTATTCACTTGTCACAGCCGCCCTTATTGTAGTTAATTGTGGCAGTATGCGAGACAAGATCTAAATATACTAAGGGGAGTGAAAAAAATAAAAAAAAAATATAATAACAATTATATAAATAAACAGACAGATGTTGGGCAGAAACCCAGTCAGGGGTTAAGCGAATACACCCCCGAGGCAGTGGCTGTGCAGTGCACGCAACACAGTTACAATTGACTGGCTAGATTACTAGATCTTAATATATTTACACAAGTTGTAGCAAATTATATCATTGTCCTCAAGCAAAGTATCGTCAGCACAGTGTTTTAGCAAAAAAGTGCTATAAAAGGGTATATAGAACTAGTACAATGTGCTATATCAGGAAAGTATAGAGATTTCTAGTAAAATAGCATAGGTATTCTCATTGCCAATAGGTGGGAACAGCTATCAAGGTTAATGCCCCCAAAAAACAGTAAAATACCATGCTCCGATAAAGCCAATAAAGACTGAGATGCATATAAATCTCCAGCAATGTCTCAGTCTTTGTATGTATAGTGAAAGTTTGCTGACACATCTAGGGAAATAAAAGTGGATAACACACAATCTCCGTATACCTAAACAGATCGAGCTATATAAACGTAGCAGTATAGATTCCCCGTTCTGTGCCTTCGAGGGCATCTGTCTCTAGCTAATAGAGAGAGTTAACTGGCTAGCCATTCTGTGGTGTAACTAGATAGACGGTCATCATTAAGATATAATCATGTAATAAGAATAACAACTGCACTAATCTGTGCCTTCATGGGCACCAATCTATAACTATTCGATAGAGCTAAACTGGTAGACTAATCTATTTTAAAAGATCTAATCAGGTGGTCCATGGAAAGGTCCTAGGTGTAGCGAATAAATAAAGCGTATAAGTGCAAAGTAGCAAAAAATGTCAAAATTTGTACCAGACAGGACCAATTGTCAGGAGCCCCGAAGCCCCTTTCGCTGAACAAATGCTCATCAGGGGGAGAAAAAGAAAATGTAACAATTAAATATATTATTATATTAAATGAAATCTGGGCGTACATAAAGCTTGGAACAATTAGACTTCCACCTTCCCAACCTCTTTATATCATCTTGTCTAAGACCTTGATAAAACAAAATAGCAGAGTGGGGGGTGCAATATACATATTTTTTATAATGTACACAAAGTTGTTTTACTTAGTATATTTATAATATGTTCAGTTTATTTTAATATGAGAATTGTATTCTATTATGTTGTTTGGTGATTTTAAATTATAAGGGAATTAGTTGTTCTCCAAAAATTAGGACTGTTTTGCCCTTTTATAAAATGGAGCTCCCTAGTCACTTCCGGGTTGCCGAATGGACGTATAGGAAATGACGCAATGACGGCCGGTTAGTCATGACGCAACGACGGAACGTGCGTCATGACGTCATACCGGAAGTGGAACTCAGCGGGAAATTTGATTTCCGGGAGCACAGATTTAAAAAGGACGCCGGAAGAAGAGGACTTTACACTTGAAAAAGACGAACTGTCGAAACGCGTTGTGTTCTTTTATGTAATACTTTTACATTTTTACTTATTTTGTTATTTTATACAAAGTAAATACTTTTTAAAGCTTCAATATTCTGGTCCATTATCTATCTTTCCTACATCTGGAATCTTACACCAGTATCCATAGGAAGATCGTGGGGACATCCTGAATAGCTTGGAAAAGCTGATTTTCCACATGCAATCAAGCTAGAGCCTGCTATTTTAGGCTCTATTTATTGTGAGGGACACAACACCTTTGCTTTTATCGTTTCTACTATTTACAGTTTTACACTATGTATGGACTTTTATGTCTTACAGATTAAGTTCAAGCAACGATTACTACTAAGTATTCATATTCTGTATTCTTTATTCTGTATATTGCACCCCCCACTCTGCTATTTTGTTTTATCACTGTTTGGGAGTGTCTTTGAGTGATTTTTAGACACTGGGGGTAGTTGCTATTTTGTGC